TGTATCCTTTCACTGTAATAAACCATCACAAACAATAGAACCGGACTCAATGAGGGCTGTCAGTCCCTCTAGAGAATGATCGACACTGAGGGTAGTTTGGGGAACCTCCACACTTGAAGTTGGTGTCAAAAGTGAGTGTGGTTTCCAGCGAATTGTGGTCCTTCTAACTTCTCAGTTGGACTGAAAATTCTCACAGCGGGTATGGATGACGGACCTTATTCAAACGGTAGATTTCTCGGTTGGAAAATCCAGCGTAGTGCATTTGGCTCTTAAATGTCTGTCTTCATTAATTGCATAACCAATGAATGCTCCTTAATGAAAATGCAGCCAAGATAAGTGAAAACATCTCTAGTAGCCATTCAATGCAGTTGAATTGAGAATGTGGTGTTGGCTTAATTGATATTTAAAAGAATTGTAGAACTATCTGTTAAACCATCTGATCCTGATGCTTTTATTTCTGAAGGACATTTTATAAACACTATGGGTTCTTCTGGGGATATTTCTTTCGTTGCACTTCATACCACCGCTGGGTCAATATTGGTGAAGTACAATATTCGAAAAGTTTCCATCTTATCATCTCCAAGTTAATTTGCATTTACTTAAACAAACAAGGCCAATGATTTCTAATGTCAACTATTGACATATTCTTTCTTTTGCTCTTATCTCATTAGAAATTCTTCCTGGATTCTGTCTGATTCCAGGCATCTGCAGAATACCTTAATAATGATGCAGCCTCAGAGTCTAAAGATGAAGAATGAACACGATTTTTAGTGGAAGAACTTCTCAAGGACTCCTCTGAGACACACATACCTCATTGATAGTCTCCGATGAGGCAGACATCAATTTTTACTGCTCCTTCCACATGAGACTCTGTTTCACTCATAGATCACAAAAGAGTAAGGTGTCTCCAAATGCGTCAACAGTCTCTTTGGAGATAATCACAAAAACTTGTAATTGGTTTTGGTAATTAGCAACCGGAAAAAAGTTTTTCAGAAGTGTTCTCCACTCCTCATGACTGCAATGCCACTGCTGCCACAGGTGAAATGAAAATTGCCATTCTCACAGGAGGTGAGGTCACAGAGTCACAAAGCCATATCTCAGGGTCTGCCTGCCTCCCTCCCACACATGTGCTTTCCATCATGACCATCACACTGAACCAACTGTCCTCCCAGCAGAAAGGAGTCGGGTGAGTATTTTGACATCAGCCTGAGGGCACAGTCTGTAAGGAAGGAAGTCTAAGTAAGCGTTCCTGTCTGGAAATGGGCTTCTGGGGTTAGAAAGAGATCCAGTGGCAAAGCTAGACAGGGAGGCAGAGTAATTCCTTAGCAATGAGCTGAGATTTTAAAGAGTGAGTAGGATTCAAGGCCCTACGCCGATCCCTGATGTCCTGCAAGGGAATTAATAAAATCCTCTGTGAGGATGATTAGGGATGAATAATCCCAGTGATAATGAAGAATCATTTCAAGGTGCTTAAGGACTGTAGTTAGGAAATCATTCTGCTGTTCACATTACATTAGAGGAATCATAGATTAAATTTTCAGTATTATTAGGGGCGTGCTTATAATGTGTTCATGCCTGCAACACAGAGTAGCATAGGACTGTCACAATTTTTCTAATCCTCTACAGAAATCATGTACATGAATTTCTCTGGAATCAAGAAACTATATTTTATCTGACACTGAGCACGTGAGTCCATAACCTACTGGAGACAGTCACTGTGTCTCTAGTGAAAACACCTGAGGTCTGATGACCATGGCAGCATTGCTTTCCCTCTTGAAGTGCGAGAAGGATGATGAGGAAAAAGTAACTTTATAATTATGAGTTTCAGACAACAGTTTACAGGACCAAATCTATCTTGTCTTATTTTCTCTGCTTTAATAAGATTTAACATCAATCCCAAGGTCACAACTCATTTCCTTAAGATTGTAATTTACACAGTTCACAAGAGTCCATAGTCTTAAAATTCCCTATTGCACGTCTCTTGTTTCAGCATATCACTTGAAAATCTTGCCTTATTCCTAATAGTTTTCCATAACCTAGGTATTAAGAAATACCTAAGCATCTGAACCAGACTCTTAATAACGTGGTGTCTATTCTACACTGACGTATCACATAATAGCATTTCCTGCATCATAGTTTATGGAACAAGGTGATATTTTTCACTAAGTTTTTTGATAGATGCCACTTTGGTTTTTATCCTGCCATGATAGCAAATGAGTCTTTCTGCTCCCAAACTAATATTGAGTAAATCTTGCATTATTTAAATCTAATATGGACAACTGAAACATTCCTTCACGATTAACCTGTAATTACTGCATCTCCAATTTTTTATCATCTCTAACATTTCATTCATTTTTGATTTTGACCTAGAGAAAAAATTTTTAAACAAAAATTGAAACTTTTTATAATTAAAATTACAAAAAAATAACAACCATATGAAATAAAATGGAAAAGTATGAAATTGAAAGCTATACACAGGTATGGATTATTTGAAGACACAGCTAACGTGGTTTGTTATTGTGACAGAGCAGTTAGGCTACTGTCTTGGCCACAAGAATAGCCAAGTTCATATCTCCATTCAGCCCTTAAGCAGCATGTGAATTTAAACATATTTGACCACCCTGTATCTAAGACTTCTTATCGTTACAATGAAAATAATGCCAGTGCTTATGTAATGCAGTTAGGAAAATCAAACAAAGTACCACACGTAGGGCATTGTAGCAGTGACTCAGACATTGTAAGTGTGACTAAAAAGTTATACATTCCACTCTGAGAAGCTTCTGAACAGAACTTAGGTATATATTTCTGAGAAAGTGTATTGGATTTGAGCTCATATGATGCATGTAATCCACACAACAGGTTAAACTGCAGGATCTTCTGGCTCTGAAGACAAGTATCAGTCACTGAGAACTGACAGATAGGCCTCCAGGGATTTGACAAGAACGGTCTGCATATCTCAGGCTATTGTCAGCATTGTGGGTGTTTTCTCTTTGATTTACCATTATCTCTTCCTTTACTACAATGAATGTGGTTGGAGGTTCATAGATTTGATCCTCAAGCACCTGTCTATAGTCACTTCTTGATCATTTCCTTTACAGTGTCTCCAAGACAATGGCAGCCTTTTGTTGAAGCTTTTCTTTGGTGATTTTTGAAAGCAAATTGTTTTCTATCCTCACAAACCTGGAAGGGTGTGTCCAGTGGCACCACCTGCCTCTTATGCATCTCCTGCCATTGAGATCAACTCCATGAACTCCAGGTGGGTGAAACTTAAGTAAAAGCTCCAGAGAGGATTGAGGTTTCCATTTTCCTTTGCTGGACGCTGTACATGATGGATAAACATCCAGCATATAAATAGCAGCGTATAAATGGTAAATAAATATCATTTTCCCTATGTAAATGATTGCCAAATTTAGCAATAAGTCATCACAAAGGACAAAGATTTAGGATAAGCTGTGCTGAATTTCAAGAGAAAATCACAGATTCACTCTAAGCAGCATTGTCCTGATCCCCTTTCATGGTTGGCCTCACAGTCTGGACCCATAGATCCATAAATTTCATCCTGTTTGGACACAGTCAACAGGCCACACACATTCGTGAAAATAACCTTTCCCCCAACAAATCCCAAGTTTGGGGGGAAGAAATGTATTTTTTAAAAATTAAAGACACATCTACTGGTCATTAGTGCACAGCTCTGTGGAATTTCACCAACGACCATTCCTCTGTTCACAACACCTAGATAAAGAAACAGAATGTTGTCAGTCCTCCTAAACCCTGTTGTGCCCCATATAAGTCACTCTTCCCAAGGGTGTAGTTCTGGTGGGTATAGTTAGAGGACCTGGGAACAGGTTTACTACCATCTTAACATTTGAAAGATTAGATCACATTTGTCTGTGTTGTACTTTATATAAATGGAATCATACAGCATGAAATGGTTAATAATGACGCTTTTTCCGTTCCACATGATTATTATGAATTTATCTGTATTGTTCCGTATTATTGTTGGCATTCGTTAGCATTTCTACTTGGGGCTCATTTGTGTAAATATCAAACAATTAATTGATTCAATTTACTTTTAATAGACAAGTTGGTTGCTTTGCATTTGGGGATATTTTGAGTAATAATGAGTGCTGATACATAAATTCTGTGATTATTTTTTTCGTGATATGACTACAAATTTCTGTTGAGTATATTCATATGAGGTGAATTTGCTGGGAACAGAGGATTACCTTTGGTCCACTAAGGTAGGTACCATACAGTTTCCCAAAATATTTGGACCAATTTTAACACTCATCCGCAGTGTACCAGATTCTTGCTTTATTTTCATCCTTCACAAAACTTGGTGTTGTGTTGTTTCATTCTAGATTTCTAGGTGATGTTTGATCATACCAGATAGAGATATGTTTGTATTTTTCTGATTACTTAGGAAGTTGAATATATTTTAGACATGTTTTATCCTTTGACTATCCTCTTACTGAAGTTTCTGTCTTAATGATATGCCCATTGTTTATTCTACTGGAGGTCTTTAGGAGTTCTTTGTGCTTCTTAAAAGTATGTGTTTGTGTGTGTGTGTGTGTGTGTGTGTGTGTGTGTGTTGATGAGAATCAGCTCCTATTTTTATTATAAAAGAATGATATTGCATCCATATGGTTAATATGTTCTGTGCTGCTTAGGATATAAGAATATTTTCTTAATAAATTTTATCAAATTTTAGATCAGCAAGGCATTCAGAGTTAATTTGTTTTGTAATGATGTTAATGATCAAGATTTTTCTTTTTTCCAATATAGCTAGCAAAGTTCAGCTTATTCTCAAAGTGTGGTTTCATGCTTTCCTTCCATATACTCTCACTTCTCATTACTTCCCCCAGGATCAGACCACTTCTTTAGTGCTGACTTTTCCATGAAGTATATCTGTTACCTCTCCATCTTTTTGTGAATTATGAAGGCTTGACACTCGAACAGGAGCACACAAGGCAAGTTACTCTTGGTGTCAAAAATCTTCAATGAATCTTTGGGCTCCGAGGAATGACTGTTCCCACAACTTGAAGGAAAACATGCAGAATGACACAATAGAATCCAGTAAGATGACAATAGCAATAATCGCCTTGTCACAGACTGTAATTGGAACACTGGGCAACTTCTGTCTGCTTTGCCATTACCTCCTGCACGGCCACACTGAAAGCAGGTTGAGGGCCACAGATCTGATTCTCAAGCACCTGACTATATCTAACTCCTTGATCATTCTCTCTGCAGGAGTCCCCCACACAGTGGCAGCTTTTGGGCTGAAACATTTTTTAAATTATTTTGGATGCAGATTTCTTTTGTATGTTGAGAGAGTGGGCAGGAGTGTATCCATTGGCACCACTTGCCTCTTGAGTGTGTTCCAGACCATCGTGATCAGCCCCATGAGCTCCTGTTGGAAGCATCTTAAAATCAAAGCCCCAAAGTACATTGGGTTTTCAATCTCCCTTTGCTGGATCATTTACATGGTTGTAAATTTAATTTTTCTGGTGTCAGAGTTGTACATGTCTAGCAAATGGAGCAGGAAAAACATTGTAAAGAAAAGAGATTTTGGATACTGTTTTGCTACTGACCAGGGGAAAATCAGTGGCTCAGTATATGTAGCATTAATAGTATTCCCTGAAGTTTCCTTTACTGTGGTCATAATCTGGACGAGCGGTTCCATGGTTTTCACCCTGCACAGGCACAAGCAGCGGGTCAAGCACATTCACAGGAATCATGTTTCCCACAGATCCTCCCCTGAGTCTAGAGCCTCGCAAAGCATCTTCATTCTGATGATCACCTTTGTATCTTTTCAAACCCTCTCCTCCACTGTTCACCTTTGTATTGCTCTCATTGATCATCCCAATTGGTGGTTGGTGAACACTGCTCGCCTAATTTCTGTGTGTTTTCCAACTGTCAGCCCCTTTCTGCTCATGAGCCGTAACTCCACTGTATCTAGGCTCAGCTTTGCACGGAGAAGAAATACAAAATTTGCTAATGTAATCAGAAAAATGGAAATGGTAGATTTTGGCACCATGTTCAGTTATTTATTCACTAATCCTACTTGAAAAGTTAAATAGAGTCTAAGGAGAAGACACATGTCCTTCTAAGGAAGACCTTAATGAAGATTGATGTTTCCTCAGCTTGTTGAATATGAGAGATACACGAGGATAGTTAAAGTGAATAAAGCAGCTTTGCATCATTTTGATGACTAGTATCCTAAAGAGTGTAGTCTTACTCCAATTCTGCTTGAGGCAAATTGAATGAATTTGGGCCTAGCCTCTGAATGAAATGAATCAGAGTGGTTGAACAAGTGGTATACTTGTGGGAATATTAGGCAGAGAGAAAACAGTTAGGAAATGAGTGTTGCATATTGTTGGAAGGCAAAACTCCATCGTTTTCCAAAATATATGCACGTACAGCATGCCGCACCATTAAGAATACTGGGCATGCTGTATTCCGAGTTGTACATCCTGGTCATTTGGGACATCGGAAATATTCAGACAGACCAATTGGAAGCTGTTTGTCCTGTCCTGCCTTTACCCAGTAAACCTCAATAAAGGCTCTGGCCGAGACTTTCCCATCACTCCTGCTTCTACATCCTGACAAATACATGATGCTTTCAGTGTGTCCCTGCATGGCCAGATGTGACCCTCCTCTTGGGAAAATATAAGTAATAAACATCATCTTTCAGTGGCATTTGTCTCTCTGCTATCTCATTCAATCACCTTTATAAATTAAGACCCAGTCACAAAACTCTCTCCAAGACAGCAAATAGGAATCTGGTTTACATATGGTAAAAACAGAAGCAAAGGGATTTTATAGGAGGGTGAGAAGAATGCCCTTTTTGCAAAGAGACAAGTAATTGTAGATTCTGAAACCATGAGGAAGAAGGATACAAGGACAAAAGGTCTAAGACTATAATATAAAGGCTCACACATGTGCAGTGCTTTATATTTACCAAGTGCTTTCACTGAAGAGACTTACAATATTCCTGTGAGGAACGCAGGAAACATACCATTTACCACAAGATTCTGAGAGTGAGGGAAGTTACCACTGTGTCCAAAATCAGGACCAGATACTTCTGTTTCCAAAAACAACCAACAATCCTCCCACTACATCTTAACATATCCCCTACAGAAGAAAGCCCTTTGCTGACTCTATTATCCTTTTATTCCCATGGATGGGCTGACTATATGATAGGAGAAATGCCCCAGATTCTCCTTTCTTCTATGACCTCCCTCCAAGGGCTTGGCTAGCTGAAGGATCAGGATCCCACAGCTGACATCCTCAGAGACCAGGGACCTGGAACCCCACAGAAAGGAGTGTAACCCTTGAAAGTCCAAGTTTTGACCAGGCAGATCCTTACCTCTTCTATTACCTTGCCAGAGCTGCTGTAACAAAACACCATAGATTGGGTGGGTTAAACAACAGAATTTATTTTGTTTCATTTCCGGTGGCTAGAAGTCCAAGATCAAAGTGTGGACAGGTTTGGTTTCTTCTGAGGTCTCTCTCCTTGGCTTGGAGATGGCGCCTTCCTGCTACGTCCTTCATGGTCTTTCCCACACAGGTCTAGTATCTCTGTATGTGTTCAAATTTCAGCTTATAATAAAAACACCAGTCGTGTTGGTTAAAACTCACCCTATTGACTTAATTTTAAATTATTCACCTTTTTAAAGGCCGTATCTCCAAAGACAGTCACATTCTGAAATACTGGGGTTAAAGCTTCAACACACATAAATTTGTGGGTAGGCACAATTCATCCCATAACATTCAGCCCTTTCAATCCCCAAAATTCATGTCCTTCTTACATGCAAACTACGTATTCCCCAATCCTGAAAGCCCAAAAGGCTTAACTCATTCTAGCATCAACTGTAAGGCTCAAATCTCACCTAAAAATCATCTAAATCTAGGGTAAGACTCCCGATATGATTCATCCCAAGGCAAAATTCCACTCCAGCTGTGAACCTGTGAAATCAGGGAAGTTGTCTGCATCTAAAATACAATTATCTGAGAGGTATATGATAGTCATTCCTATTCCAAATGGAAAAATTGGAAAGAAGAACAAAGTCATGGTTTCCAAGCAAGTCTAAAACTACAAGACAAATTCCATTACATTTTGAGGCTGATCTTTTATGCTGTTTGGCTGGATGTTTGTCTTCTGGGCCCACAGGGGTGGCAGCCCTCATTTTGGGCCCAATGGAGCATCAGAAATGACCCCAACACCCTGAGCAAAAACCATGTACCCAAAGCCTGGCCTCTGTAGCAGTGGCATCGTGCTGTTCTCTGAATCACTTTCAAATTCATACTTCCCTTTATTTGAAGAACAACACATGTTTGCAGCCAGATAGTTCTGTCATCCCATTCTGTAGAATCCTAGTAATCCAACAGCCTTCCTTCTGAGGTGGGGACCATGAATCTGCATCTGTAATATAATCCCAGGTGGTGCTGATGCTTCGCTCCCCGGATCCCTGATTCAAAGTACTCACTCCCATCCCCCTTTCAGTAGCACTAAGCTAGAGAAAGCTAGCACAGCACATCTGACCCCCTTACACACTACCATTACATCTCAATGGAAATACTATTGGTTCCCTTCTTTTTTCATATGATGGGGAAGGAATGAAACCTAGACCGATAATCCCTGTGGAGCACGAGAGGGCTGCTATAGCAAAAGTCTGAGGACACCAAAAGAAGATGCAATCTTTGGCATTGCCAGTGCAGATGCTAGGAAGGGCAGTGCATTATTAAGTGCAAGCAGGGGCATTTAGTAACATGGCCTGGGAGAGGCACCTGGGCTGGTGGGAAGGGGCTTGACTGCCTGCATTTGCATTGCATGGACATTTGGTTGTGGATAAGGTGGTCTCTTGCTTTCTCTGCAGTAGTTACATATCTAAGGTTGCCATCTTGGATGAGAGGATGGATTAGATCAGCAGATTGTACAATTTGGTGGTTACTTCTGAAAAAATCTCAGATGATGATGCTCTTTCACAGCCTCCAGACCCCAAAAAGGTAGAGGACTGTGCACTGGGTGCAGATTATAGGTGCAGCTGAGATGTGGTCACACTTTCCTGTCTGGCTACCCCCATGAAGTGGGAGTCTCATTGTCATGCACGGGATACTGTATTGGAGTAAGTTATGCTGAGGCCTTATGTTATTTGTTTCTATTCAAAGTTCAGTCCCAAGACTCTCATGCTGCCCTTGAGGACATCTAGATTGTACGAGGCCCTGCATTCAGGTTCATTAGGTGATGCCCCAGATACCCTGTATGTGTTCAGGTGCAAAAGTTTGGACTGAAATTAAGAGATTGCAATGAGGGTGAACCAGGACTCCACCAGGGCATTCCCATGTTAGCAGGAGGACAGGTTGTACTATGGATCCTGCTTCCAGGTAGGGCTGAAATTTGCACTTGGGTAGCATTAGGATTCTCAGTGAGTGGTTCAGGGTCCCAGGCTGGTGGAGAGAACAGGTTGCTGCTGCTGATTCTGGGCTGGGAGGGCCCAGAATGTTCCACAATTTTGGACACAGGTGCAGGCTTGGGGAAAGGGCACATGTAATAGAACAGACACTTTAGGAGAGATTCTGTGTTGCAGTTTGGTTATGTGAATGGCACAGCTGGGCAACTGTCTTGGTGAAGACCCAAGTGTTGCCTGGGAGAGGGAGATGTGGCCAGGAGCAAAGCACATTGCATCATTGGGACAGAAGGTCCTACTCTCGTGACCCTTCCAGATCTTGCCATCTGTGTCTCTTCATCTGTATCCTTTATTACAGCCTTTAATAACCTGGCAACCTAAGTGTTTCTCTGAAACCTATGAGCCATTCTAGCAAATTAATTGAACCCAAGGAGGAGGTCATTGGAAACTTACATTTGTAGTCAAGTCAGACAGAAGTTGTGGCTAACATGTGGACCCACTACTTCTAATTGGCATCTGAAATGGTGTTGTAGCAGTTTCTGGGAAAAGCCCTACAGCCGTGGGATTTGACTCTATTTTCAAGAAGTGTTAAAATTGAATCAAATTGCACAACATCCTACTGATGACCAGATAATTGCTTGTTGTGGGGAAAAATCTCCTCACATTTGGTGACCGAAAGTGTCAGAAGTTGTGTTCTGTGTAAAAGTAGACTCACAAGAAAGAAGCACACAGTAGAGAAAAACTGTTTTCCCCTTCATGTGCATTTGCATGAAAAATATCAGCTATACTCCTCAACTACATAAAAAGGAGGATAAACCTAAAACAGGAAAATTGTTACGACGAGAGATCAAAATGGAATCAGTTGTGTTAATATTTTTCATTAAATGTGTTTCTATGTTTTTAGATTTCTACTGTTGCTGAAATAAAGTTCTGTGAATTTAGCAGTTGAAAACACCAGAAGCTTGTCTTCTCACAGGTTGGTAGGTGAGAAAGCTGAAATCAAGGTGTCGACCATCCCAGTCTCTTCACTGGAACCTGGGGGAGCGTTGTTTCCAGGCTGATTCACGTTGTTGGCAGAATAAATTTCCTTTGGGGACTTCCATGTGCTTCCCTCCATCTTGAAAGCCTTCATTAGCAAATTGAACGCCCCTCCTGTTTTGAATCTCTTCTTGCTTTCTGTTCTACTTGAGTTCCATTGTTTAAGGATCATGTGGTTACATTGGACTCACCTTGATGATGCAGGACAATCTCCTGTTTTAGTCAGTCAGGGCTGCTACAACAAGAACATCACAGACTGAGTGGATTAAAAAACAAACATTGATTTCCTGACTTTCCAGAGGCTGGGAAATTTCAAGCTCAAGGTGCAGGCAGATTTGGGATCTGGTGAGATAAATCATCTAACTCATCGTGGTTTGCTAATGGCCCTTGATTTCTCATATCCTTATGTGGTGAGAGAGACAGAAAGCAAGTTTTCTCCTGTAGCCTCGTGAGAGCATTAATTCCATTCAGGGGGCTCCACCACGTGACACAATTAACTCCAAAGGCCCTGCCTCATCATACAATCACATTAGGGGTTAAAATTTCAATGTATGAATTTTGGGGGGACACAAACATTTGGTCCACAACATAATCTGATGATTAGTAACCTTAATTACAAC